AACCAGCGTTGTCTAAACCTTCCTTGAAGTCAAATATACCAACCAGCGTTGTCTAAACCTTCCTTGAAGTCATACACCAACCACCGTTGTCTGAACCTTCCTTGAAGTCAGATACACCAACCAGCGTTGTCTAAACCTTCCTTGAAGTCAGATACACCAACCAGCGTTGTCTAAACCTTCCTTGAAGTCAGATACACCAACCAGCGTTGTCTAAATCTTCCTTGAAGTCTGATACACCAACCAGCGTTGAAAGCATTTAGTTGACAAAATCAAAATACAAATCTGATAAAGTGGCAAACTGAATTTCTAACAGCCCAATAATAATGTAAACCCTATTTTTTTGAGCAAAATAAACCAAACTTAATCTTGAGTTTGAAGACAATCATAAGAGGTATTCTCCAGTTATTTCATGAAAGCCTGCAACTCACAATAACAGGTGCTAATGAGATCTGGACATTACTCATGTACTACAAAATTCTGAAGAAAGACCCTGGAAATAGTTGCATACTGTCGCAATGTGGGAAGTGGGAAGACCCACGCTCTATCTTCTGGTTTAAATCAGTGGCAAAGGCAGAAGCCACATGTGCCCCTTCAGTGAATCTTGGAGAACAGAGAGAAACAAGTATCGTTAAAATAATGTTATACTACTTACTCTCGGAGCCTGGTCCTGGGATACGCATATTTGATTTTTACCTGGTCAACCAGGCTGTTCCTGCTGGTGGTCCACTGGTCCATATATCCATCACAGACTGGTTGATCCAGTATTTAGTGGAGATACTTGTTAAGTTTCCTCTTGAAGCTTTCCATACTTGTTCCAACAGTGTTTCTGATATAATCTAATAAGATGTTTATAAGTCTGGGACCACGGATGTTAATACGATGCTTCTAATATGCCCAAGGTGCCTCTATTTTTCATTGCGTTTATTTTACATTTTCTCCCAACTCTCATTCTTGTTAGTATGTTATGGCAGTAGGCAGGCTTGGGACAGCCCACAAATACTTTCCACATATATTTAATTATATATCTTTCTTCGCTCCAGCGAGTGCATATTTAGAATTTTGAGGTGTTCCCAGTAAGCAAGTCCTCTGGCGGTTGCTTGATCCCAACAAAATACACTGTTCCAATGCAAACCACCAGAAAGCCAAGCACCACCCTCATTCACAGTTCCGCGGAGCAAAAACCTGCAAACTGCGAGTTCATCTTTGAACAAAGGAAACCTAGTATTGGCCTGTAGGCCTGTTGAAACAACTGCTCAGCATGCTTTTAATCACCTGCCCCAGATGCCCTATAAAAGCTGTATTTTTTCTCATTGCTCCTTGTACGCGAAAAAGCCCACTTGTGGGTGAAACATTGTAACAATAAAGAATTCACTGCAATAAGTATATTTACCACCTGTCGGCATTACGCCTTTATTCAATATAGACTGGGTAAGTGGTTGTACAAGAGGTGACGGGAAAATCGAGTTGAGATATTGGCAACTACCGAGGACCGGCCAGCCGGTATATGGTCACTGACAGCTCAGATCATGTCAAGCTACCAAGAAAAGAAATGGGTTAGATGAGTCAGTTGTCTCTGAAATTTTGAGGCGTAGGCTTTTAATGTCATTGGGGGTTGTAACAGGTGCCGGAGAAACAGATGAATTAGGATGTGTAAGGTGAAGATAGTAGAGGTGACAGATGTTGAAGAAGTAGGAATGTTAGAGGTGAGAATATAATAAGGATTGAACACTGAAAAACTATCGTAGAGATCATTGGGTGCTGAAGCTGCGAGACAGTTCTGGAGTAGGAATAATGTGGTACTGTAGTTTCGCTTCCTTGAAGGAAAACTGGGCACTGATAAGAATACAAGATATGTACTCTGCCGCATTTAGAGCAGGAAGGAGAGACTCGATCGCAAGTTGAGTCAATATGATGTTTCTCCATAGATAGGACATTCTTCCGGTTGTCTACAACACGCAGTATGACAAATGTGGTGGAGAGATGAGATTGTTTTGCCGGGACTGTAACAATGGACAATTCTGTAACCAAAGAACTGTTGTATCTGAATCAACTGATCCAGCTGTTTTTGTTCGGTATTTCTGAAATCTGTTAAACTGAGGGTTTATGTTTTGCTGAGTAGCCATGTCATCAACATTTGAGACACCCTTGCTGTGTTGCCTTGAGTTTCCTCACTGGCAAGCTTTGATCTGTTATGCATATTGAAGAGGGAAGCTTATAACAATCGAACATCAGCTTAGCTATGACTCGACCTCTGCAACAATTAGGTGAGCACTGTTTAAATTCAAATTCAATTCAAATTCGAAGTTTATTCTCTATAAGGATTACAATGCTGAGTTTACAGAATTTGGGTATTGTGTTTACCTGGAGTTTACCTGGAGTTTACCTGGAGAGAGTTTCGGGGGTCAACGCCCCCGCGGCCCGGTCTGTGACCAGGCCTCCTGATGGATCAGCGCCTGATCAACCAGGCTGTTGCTGCTGGCTGCACGTGTGGTTTACATGTAGTAAAATAATAGTTACGGAGTGTACCACTAGAACACCTAGCATGGCTAGGCATTTCGGGCAAACTTAGTTTAAATCTTAAATTTAAAATATTACAAAGTAGTATGAGGTAAGTTGGTATTATGGCTAAGTGACTAAATACTAGTTTGTGAGTTTAGCAATGTGAATGCTTTTGTTTTGGCACAATACATAGTTTCAGTATTGGAGTATCACAGGCCAACTTATGACTAGTTAGGATTCATTATTTTAAGATTGAGATTGATATTTCTTTTTATGGTCAAATGGGTGAGTGAGTGTAAGTGTGAACCACCAGGTGGTATTCGTGTAATTAGTTGACAGGGTGTATCAGGGAGATAACATGTTTTCTAATGGTAGTTTTGAAGGTGATGAATGTGTCTGCAGTTCTAGAGTTTTCAGGTAGGGTGTTCCAGATTTTAGGGCCTTTGACATACATTGAATTTTTGTAAAGGTTTAGTCGGACACGGGGAATGTCATAATGTTTGTGTCTGGTGTTATGCCTGTGGGTTCTGTCACAACTATCAAGAAAGCGTTTTAGGTCAAGGTTAATATTGGAATTTAAGGTCCTGTAGATGTAGATTGCACAGTAGTAAGTGTGGATGTACTGAACAGGGAGTAAGTTTAGATCTATGAAGAGTGGGGGGGGGGGGTTGCCAGGGATGGGATTTAGTGATTATTCTTACTGCAGCTTTTTGTTGAGTTATTATTGGCTTTAGATGTGTTGCTGCAGTTGATCCCCAAGCACAAATAGCATAGGTGAGGTATGGATAAATAAGTGAGTGGTACAGTGTGAGAAGGGCATTTTGCGGCACGTAGTATCGTACCTTGGAGAGGATCCCAACTGTTTTGGATACTTTTTTGGTAATGTGTTGGATATGGGTGCTGAAATTCAGGTTGTTGTCGAGGTATAGGCCTAGGAATTTGCCCTCATTATGTCTGGCAATTAGAGTGTTGTCGATCTTAATGTTAATTTGCGCAACTCCTGCTCTGCTACCAAACATAATGTAGTAGGTTTTGTCAGTGTTAAGCGTAAGTTTATTGGCTGTCATCCAAGTCGATATTTTGATCAGCTCCTCATTAACAATGGTGTTGAGGGTGGCAAGATTAGGGTGAGAGATGGCGTAAGTCGTGTCGTCAGCAAAGAGAATGGGGTTCAGGTGTTGGGATACGTTTGGAAGATCACTGATGTATATGAGAAAGAGCAGGGGACCAAGGACACTTCCCTGCGGAACTCCAGTATCAAGTGGCCGTGTTGTTGATGCTGTGTCTTTAATGGTGACATACTGATACCTATTAGTAAGGTAAGATTTGAAATATGCAAGCGCATGGCCTCTTATACCATAATGGTCAAGTTTGTGGAGTAGGACGCTGTGGTCTACTGTGTCAAAAGCTTTTCTTAGGTCAATAAAAATTCCTAGTGGATATTCCTTATTTTCCAATGCTGTGTAAAGCAGATCTAGCATTTTTATGATTGCATCATTAGTGCTTTTATTTTTCCTCAATCCAAACTGGCAGGGGTTGAATATGTTTTGTGCCGTTATAAATGAATATAGTCTCCTGTGCACGAGTTTCTCAAAGATTTTGGATAGCAATGGTAAGTTTGATATTGGTCTATAGTTGTTTAAATCTGTAGGGTCACCACCTTTATGTATTGGTGTAACCCTTGCCATCTTTAGTAGTTTCGGGAAGGTGCTAGTTTCTAGTGACTTGTTAAAAAGTAATGAAATAGCATGCGAAAGGACATGGGCCGCTCGCTTGTACAATAATGGTGGGACATGAGACAGATTCCCCGAGTTATTTTTAAGTGACTTTATAATCTCGGTGACTTCCGTGGGCTCAGTTGGTGCAAGATAGAAGGAATTTGGGAAATTCCCATCTAGGTAGTCCCCGGCATGGGCATTGGTACGTGGGATTTTATTGGCGAGATTAGATCCTATGGTTGAGAAGTCGTTTATCTTGTTAGCTGTGTCAGTGGGATGCAGTGGTGTTTTATTAGGTTTAGTTAGGACAATATTCTTGTTTTTTTTTCAGTTTGTGGGTCCCTAGAATCTGAGTGTTTTCCAGGTCTTTTTTATATCTCCTCTTGTGTCAGTGAATCTACTAAATAGTATAGTTGTTTGGCTTTCTTTATTACTTTGGTGAGAACTCAGCCTTTTCTGTCATGATTTATTTCCGTCACGAGTGATAAAAGTTGTCATCTCTAACCCTATTCTGGTTCCCTTATGTAGCCATTTATTTTAAGGCACTCAGCTCTTCTCTTTCTTAGCTTTTCTAATACCTTATGTAGTGCGTGCGTGCATGCGTGAGTGCGTGCGTGAGAGAGAGAGAGCAGCAGGGTGCATGAGAGGAGGGAGGCAGGAGGACTGCAGTATTGATCAGGTGACGGTGGCGTGCGTGTGATCCGAGTTCTCTCCCTTGCTCCTACACCTCGGGTTATTAATATGTACTTCAGGAGGATCACAGGTTGGTCACTCCACCACCCATCTGCCCCACAGGTGCCATCAACTACGAGCACTTGCCTCGGCACCATAAAACAGTGGTTCGCTAGGTCTGGCTGCCATTGGAGCGACCCTACAAGATACGTCCATACAATCGTTTTTTGGGGACACTTTACAAAGAGCGAACATGATAAAGAGATTTGTGACGGTGGCCAGGGTTAAAATGGTAGAGGAGGTAATGATGTAGATAGGTAGTAATAGATATGTAGGTGGTGACAGCTGGTGGTCCTACCATGCACCTCTCGCCACCACCACTGTAGGCTACGTCCTGTAGGCCTTTTCCCTCCTGCTTCAAGGGACATGCATGACTAATATAACTTATAACCTGCATCGTTTTCTATATGAGTACCATTTCTAACTTAATATACCAAAAAGCGAATGATACAATCATGTTTAGTAATCATGGTGGTTATTAGCAGTAGTGGAGATTATTAGGAATTCACTGTTGATATCGAGAACCGTGGCCAGTGGTGTGTTTGATAGGATAAAACTCACATCTTATGCACGTACTTACAATTTTTTTTCCCCATATCATATATTTGTCTTTTCTTTAGAATTATACACTGACAATATAAACATTTATGAAAATAGCAATGATTTAAGGGATACTTTTCAATTTTCTTTATGAATGACAAAACACGATTTTGTATGTTTCGTCATTTATAAAAAGTGGTGAAACATGAATGAATATTTACGAAAGTCGCATATGTACTATTAAATCTGTATTTTTTTTAACGTATATGTTTAGGAGAACGCAAAGGAACCAACTGTGTACACGAAAAGAGACAACTACTGGATAGATCTTTCAAAGTGGACTAAGATGAAAAAATCTGTCAAACATAGGCAATATAATTTAAATGGTTCTCACTAGTATACAGTACATAATAATATACAGAGGGTCACTAAAGTATACACATCTAAGTTACTATTGCTTTAACTACAGTTTGCTATATATGTCACCCATTTTTAACCAGCTGCTGCAACCTTTTGTGAGGATTGTTGAGTAAGGTTATCAAAATGCCGCCAGCGAGTAGTCAAGCCTGTTAGTGAGGTCTAACAAGCCTGTTATAAAGGACTATCAAGCCTGTTAGTGAGGACTAACAAGCCTGTTACAAAGGACTGCCAAGCCTTTGAATAATGTAAAAGCTGTCAGCGAGGATTGTAAAGCCTTCCATTGAGGTTATCAATGCCGGCAGGTGAGGACTGTTAAGCCTGCGAGGTTGGCATGCTGTCAGCGAGGACTGTCCAGTCTTTCAATTCTGTAAGTGAGGACTGTCAAGCAAAATAATGAGGTTGTCAGTGCTACCAGTGAGGCTATTAATCAACTGTGTCAGTGAAGACTGCCAAGCCTGAGTGGGTTATTAATGCTGTCAAAGACTGTCAATCCCGTTAGCTAGAGCTCTAGAACAATCAAGCCAGCGAACATAAACAGAACATTGGAACACTGCGGTAGACCTACTGGGAAAGGCTCTCACCTACGTACCACACCAACTCGCGCAGCAGTCCACCTTATATTTAAAACTATGCAAAGTTTTCATTCCACTATCTGGGAGTGGGTTCTACTCATCCACAACTCTATTACCAAATACTTCACTCTATCATTTCTAAATCTGAGTTTGTCCAACTTGAACCCATTGCTGTAGAAGTGGAGGCTATCAATGCCGTCAGGGAAGACTCAAGCTTGTTAGCGAAAACTGTCCAACCTATGAGTGAGGTTGCCAATGCTGTCAGCAAGTACTGTCAAAGTTGTGAACAGGGTAATCAATACATTTAGAGTGGACTGTAAAGTTTGTGAGTGAGCTTATCAGTGTTGTTGGCGAGGACTGTAAGTGGGGTTATCAACTGTCAGCAAAGACTGTCAAGTCTGTGAGTAGGCTTGACAATACTGTCAGCAAGGACTATTAATCCGGCGAGTGGGGGTTATAAATGTTGTGAGCGAGGGCTGTCCAGACTATTAGTGAAGCCTGTCCAGTTTTGATTTTATGCCCTGCCCGACAAGAAGTAATTTCATAAGTGCACTGTCAAATGAAAGAAAACTGCCAGGACTGTTAATGAAGACTATCAGGACTCTTAATTAAGACTAACAGGACTGTCAATGAAGACTGGCAGGCCTTTTAATGAAGACTGTCAGGACTGTTAATGAAGACTGTTAGGACTGTCAATGAAGACTGACAGGACTGTCAATGAAGACTGACAGGACTGTCAATGAAGACTGACAGGACTGTCAACGAAAGCTGTCAAAGACGTGAGTTTGAGGTTAATCAGCTGTCAGGGAGGGAAGTCGTCACTATTAAGCTAGTAACTATGGCTGTCATGAGCGACTGTCAGCAGGGGATGTTTGACTAACAAGGTACTTATTATCATCGCGTAATTAGTGTAATTACGTCATCACAGAACTGTTTACACATGTATGGAGTACACATATACTCTATACATATATAACTGCTCTATTGTTTGCTGCTTTGTCAATATAATTATGTAATCTCTATGTTTGCTTTAACATAATAATGTAATCTCTATCGTTTGTTTCTTTAATATAATTATGTAATCTCTAAGTGTGGCAGCGATGTTAGTTTTTTTTTAATTATTAGATTCATAAGGAAGGCCTAAACTCGTAAGGGCCATACGGAGCCTGGCGGAATTAGAAATAGTCAGGTTCGCTGCAAGAAAGGGGAGGGGTAGTTCAGACTCCCTAGATCAAAAGCCCTTCACTGGTAGCCAAGAACCCCGGGGAACTCGTAACAAGAGTAACATATTACATAAACTCCTGTAACTATAATAATATTGTTGGAGATACATTACTGAGGTACAGAACGACCACCACACGGTAATTAACACTGTGTACTCCAGGAGTACTGACTGTGATGTGTGTACTCCAGGGGTACTGACTGTGATGTGTGTACTCCAGGGGTACTGACTGTGATGTGTGTACTCCAGGGGTACTGATTGTGATGTGTGTACTCCAGGGGTACTGACTGTGATGTGTGTACTCCAGGGGTACTGACTGTGATGTGTGTACTCAAGGGGTACTGACTGTGATGTGTGTATTCCAGGGGCAATGACTAATGACATGCCCATGCACTCTGCCCCAGGGCCAGACTCATGGAACTCCGTGTTCATCAAGAACTGCAAGAAGCCCCTATCACGAGCCTTTACCATCCTATGGAGAGGGAGCATGGACACGGGGGTCGTCCCACAGTTACTAAAAACAACAGACATAGCCCCACTCCACAAAGGGAGCAGTAAAGCAACAGCAAAGAACTACAGACCGATAGCACTAACATCCCATATCATAAAAATCTTTGAAAGGGTCCTAAGAAGCAAGATCACCACCCATCTAGAAACCCATCAGTTACACAACCCAGGGCAACATGGGTTTAGAACAGGTCGCTCCTGTCTGTCTCAACTATTGGATCACTACGACAAGGTCCTAGATGCACTAGAAGACAAAAAGAATGCAGATGTAATATATACAGACTTTGCAAAAGCCTTCGACAAGTGTGACCATGGCGCACAAAATGCGTGCTAAAGGAATAACAGGAAAAGTCGGTCGCTGGATCTATAATTTCCTCACTAACAGAACACAGAGTAGTAGTCAACAGAGTAAAGTCCGAGGCAGCTACGGTGAAAAGCTCTGTTCCACAAGGCACAGTACTCGCTCCCATCTTGTTCCTCATCCTCATATCTGACATAGACAAAGATGTCAGCCACAGCACCGTGTCTTCCTTTGCAGATGACACCCGAATCTGCATGACAGTGTCTTCCATTGCAGACACTGCAAGGCTCCAGGCGGACATCAACCAAATCTTTCAGTGGGCTGCAGAAAACAATATGAAGTTCAACGATGAGAAATTTCAATTACTCAGATATGGTAAACACGAGGAAATTAAATCTTCATCAGAGTACAAAACAAATTCTGGCCACAAAATAGAGCGAAATACCAACGTCAAAGACCTGGGAGTGATCATGTCGGAGGATCTCACCTTCAAGGACCATAACATTGTATCAATTGCATCTGCTAGAAAAACGACAGGATGGATAATGAGAACCTTCAAAACTAGGGATGCCAAGCCCATGATGACACTCTTCAGGTCACTTGTTCTATCTAGGCTGGAATATTGCTGCACACTAACAGCACCTTTCAAGGCAGGTGAAATTGCTGACCTAGAAAATGTACAGAGAACCTTCACGGCGCGCATAACGGAGATAAAACACCTCAATTACTGGGAGCGCTTGAGGTTCCTGAACCTGTATTCCCTGGAACGCAGGCGGGAGAGATACATGATTATATACACCTGGAAAATCCTAGAGGGACTAGTACCGAACTTGCACACGAAAATCACTCACTACGAAAGCAAAAGACTTGGCAGACGATGCAACATCCCCCCCAATGAAAAGCAGGGGTGTCACTACCACGTTAAGAGACCATACAATAAGTGTCAGGGACCCGAGACTGTTCAACTGCCTCCCAGCATACATAAGGGGGATTACCAATAGACCCCTGGCAGTCTTCAAGCTGGCACTGGACAAGCACCTAAAGTCGGTTCCTGATCAGCCGGGCTGTGGCTCGTACGTTGGTTTGCGTGCAGCCAGCAGTAACAGCCTGGTTAATCAGGCTCTGATCCACCAGGAGGCCTGGTCACAGACCGGGCCACGGGGGCGTTGACCCCCGGAACTTTCTCCAGGTAAAACTCCAGGTAATGTGTACTCCAGGGGTACTGACTGTGATGTGTGTACTCCAGGGGTACTGAGTGTGATGTGTGTACTCCAGGGGTACTGACTGTGATGTGTGTACTCCAGGGGTACTGAGTGTGATGTGTGTACTCCAGGGGTACTGACTGCGATGTGTGTACTCTAGGGGTACTGACTGCGATGTGTGTACTCCAGGGGTACTGACTGCGATGTGTGTACTCCAGGGGTACTGACTGCGATGTGTGTACTCCAGGGGTACTGACTGCGATGTGTGTACTCCAGGGGTACTGACTGCGATGTGTGTACTCCAGGGGTACTGACTGCGATGTGTGTACTCCAGGGGTACTGACTGCGATGTGTGTACTCCAGGGGTACTGACTGCGATGTGTGTACTCCAGGGGTACTGACTGCGATGTGTGTACTCCAGGGGTACTGACTGCGATGTGTGTACTCCAGGGGTACTGACTGCGATGTGTGTACTCC